TTTAATAGAACTCTTTAGACTCAAACAGAATTAATTCAAAATTGAACTGTGATGCCAACGTCCTCTGTATAGACCTAGTTCAAATTGTATGAGAAAATTTGGGGGGGTGTTTTAATATCATTATATAAGTGTATTTTATTAATTGACTGTTTAGGATAATTGTTAGAAAAGCAAACTGAATCTTTTTCTATGTTTTATTTTCATAGCATCAACTCTACTGAAGCCAAACAAAAATAGATTTTCCAGACGTTGATTGATGCTGTGTGATCAGACATGTCGTCTGTGTTTGTTCTAAATGAACCACTTGCACCTACAGAAATAATTATATGAATATCATTTACATGTAAATGTAGTTTCTTCTGAAGCATCAGAATGGCAAATTAGGCCCTGCAGACTACTATTTGCAATTAAATTATTAATGCTTCTGATAAAACTTCAGATCAATTTTTGTTGACCTTTCCATGTTGTAACACCACAAATTAAGTCTTCCTGAACAAAATCTATTTAGTTGAGTCAGATTTTTATTTTCATTACCTCGACTGGTAATAAGAGATCAGCATAAAACTGTGTTAACTTAAGAGTACACAAAGTTTTAAATTAGTTAGAAAATGGATTTATACAGAATTATTTCTGTCTCTTATCTGTTGCAAAGAATTAGCTCCCGGATTCATGTGATAAAATACCATTTAACACTTCTATTCTAGTTATAAATTGGAAATTAAAAATTATTTACTATTGGCTTCCTAAAAAGTTTCATTTTGTTTTTAACACTTTTTATTCTGAGAAGTCTCAGCTTCTTCATTTTGTAATGAAATGAACTGATATTTTGTTCCAGAGGTATTTGCAAATGAAAAAAAGAAAGCGTTCTGTTCGGTGAAATGTAGAACAGAGAGGGCAATTACTGCTCATCCCCGTGTGCAAGTGCTGACATCTCTTAATCTCTGTGATGCAGAAAGATTACACTGGGCCAATGCAATCCAGTGTTCCCAACAGCTGGCAGTCAAGGAGCTTTCTCTATATATTGTAGGAAAGAAGGAAAAAAATTCTGAATTGCAGCATGTGTATGGGTTTTTCTGTTTGCAGGGGCTCTTCAGTGTGTCTCAGACTTTGTGTAGTACAGCCTGTCTGGAGGTAGTAAGGTCTCTGGACTGCATCTGACTTGGGGTAGTAGTGGGTCAAAGGCAAAACTTCACATTCAATGTAATTAAGATTCATTTAACTTAAAAGTTATTTAATCAAAGTGCTGCCAAAGACAAAATTAGATGTGTAATCTGAGCCTGTTTTATTCTGTGCCTGAAACTTGGGCTTGCCTGATAGCTCTAAAATACACTGATATTTATTGGGGAAAAAAACCCAAACAAGTAATAGAAAAAACTCAAAACAGCTGCCAGTGCCCTCAAAATCTGGTAATAGTTTACATTTTCATCTTCTGTGTTCTTGCTAAAAACCTTCCAAAATCCATTTGGTAAATTTTGACCATTTTTTGCATTTCACAGCTGGGCCTTTCTGAAACAATATTTATGTAAATAAATCTATGATGTAGTTCTTTCGTATTATGCGACTTGATCTTGCCTGCATAGTCATGCAATATCCAAAAGGATTAGTAGTTACAAGCATATTTATGTGCCTTTTGAAATCCATGCCTGCTTACCCAAACTGAAGGAACAATTAATAGGAACATTTATTGTTTTTTCTAAGAACGTATTTTACTGTTTAATAAACCAAAAATTTGAGGTTTTCTTTCTGTTCTCCTCTAGCCCTGCTAGGATGGAAAGACTCAGGTCAGCTCGAAATTCAGTTATTTTAATGTCATGAATTCATTAATTTTTTAGCCCTTGAGAACTTTGGTGAAAAGCTAGTTAAGCTGACTACATAGATTTGCCTTGTTTGAGGATTACTTTTTCACTCCATAAGATTTGAGGCTTTTAGTAGCATCCCATGGGTATTGGACTTGAATGGGGATAAAACATATGAAGAACCAAGGCCTTCCAAGTATGAGTTTTCAAAACCTGATTTGTTCTGGCAGGGGTATTTTTAAGAATATAACAAAATCTTTATGTAAGTGTTTTTTATTGAAGGTTGCCACTCGAGGAGAGGCTCACTTAGAACTAAATGCCTTTAGGAGGAAGCATGACTGTGCCTTGGTGATATCTGGGGACTCACTTGAGGTAAGAACTCGGTTTCTGTCGACTTATATTTGTTTACATGCTTATGTTCAGAAAGTAAAGTGTCAGTGTCTTCATGCTCTTTCTTTCCAGTATTTGCCCATACTTTTAAGTTGTCCTTAGAGATACTTTTGTATTAGCACTGAGTGCTAATTAGGGGATGTATGTTCAAGATGGGCAAGTATTACTGGTTTTCTGGTCCCCTGCACAGTAACAGACTGGAATTTGTTTGCAGAGTGCTTTAGTATTGTATGTTCTCTTAACCTCAAAGCCTAGCAGCTCTCAAACTGACATTCTCTTTGATTTTAAAACTAATAAAGCCTCAGTCAGGAGAATCTGGCCTTTTTTCTTCTCCCAGTTAGATGTTGTGCAAGCAAAACTTCATTTAAAAAAAATCTCTATACTGTGTTTTTGTGTTGGACTGCATGTAGTAATACTTAAGTAAATGAGAGTGTCTTTTTTTTTTTCTTAGGTTTGTCTGAAATATTATGAGCATGAATTTGTAGAGCTGGCCTGCCAGTGTCCTGCTGTAGTGTGCTGCCGATGCTCTCCCACCCAAAAAGCTCATATTGTGAAACTGTTACAGCACCACACTGGAAAACGCACATGTGCAATAGGTAACTGTTGGCACAATCTTTGTTTGCAGTAGCTAAAATCTGTAATAAATTTAATCAGCAGATGGCACCATTGAGAAATAGTTGAAACAAAAAGGCTTCTTTACCAACAGCCAAGTATTGTGTAATTGTAGCACAAAATGCCTTTCCATGAGAAAGGTGCAGTTACCTCTTCTATTCTGCCAGAAAAAGTCTTGATTGCTGAAGTAATTAATCATGAGTCATAGATTAATTTTAAGAATTTAAAGATATCTAAGAGGTTTCTAAAATACTGTAAGGGAAGGAGAGGTAAACCTCTGAAGAGCTGAATATTGCAGTGACATTTTCCAGGTGATGGAGGAAATGATGTCAGCATGATCCAAGCAGCAGACTGTGGAATTGGAATTGAAGGCAAGGTAATGTTAACAGTTTCATTATCAAACGTGTGCCACACAGCAGCATAGTAACATGGGACTAGAGGCTTTATTCTTAAACAGCAGTGAGCGGATAATTTCTAATTAAAGCATGCTGTAAGATGCTAAGAATGCTTAATCTTTCAGCTTGTATTTTCTTTGCTTCTGTGTCCTCTGCTTCATATTTTTTAATGCAAAAAGCAAGAAAAGCAGAAAACACTGTAGTTATTTCTGTGTAGCATTTACCTGAAAGAAGCAAGAGAGGCGATTAAACTTATTTAGTACAGCTACTGCATCTTAGAATATGCACAAAAAATTGCCCTCTGTGTCTCATTGCAGGGTTGATTTCTGAAGCAGGAGCAAACTTTATCTTTACAAATTAATTATTGCTTAGAATTTTGAAATTTGAAACACATCTTTTACATTGGGTTTCATATTTGGAATATTTTTGTTTTGTTTTAGGAGGGAAAACAAGCTTCCCTAGCAGCTGACTTTTCTATCACACAGTTTAAACACATAGGTAGGCTGCTGATGGTACATGGTCGAAACAGTTACAAAAGATCAGCAGCACTTGGTCAGTTTGTCATGCACCGAGGCCTTATTATTTCAACTATGCAGGTATTTAAAACTTTGTTTTCTGAATAGCTAGAAACACTGTGTCTGTCTTTGAAATGTCACAAATTCTTAATCAACCAGTATTGTTACTTTTTTCAGTACTGTATTGTTTGTATACAGAATTATATTAAATTCATATAATTGTCTGCTTTTTGTAGGCTGTATTTTCATCAGTCTTCTATTTTGCATCTGTTCCCTTGTACCAAGGATTCCTAATGGTAGGGTAAGTCCAAAGCAACTGTTGTGATATCTGGTAATAAATATAGCAAACAAACTTGTTAAATAACCTCATGTTGTTAGTGTCATCCACATTTTCCACTCACTTCATATAGGTACACTACCAAAACCTGGAATGAGTGCCAAGAAAGTCAGGCTAGTTTGGATAAGCAGCATTTGAGGGGGGAAGCCTCATTATCATTCACTGGAGAAAGGGATCTTGCATAGCCTTAGAAAAAGATACCATAGAACTTTTTTCACATACAGGGTGAAAACAGTAGAGGAACTGTCCCAGACCAGTTTCAGCTGTCACACAGATTGCTGTACAGAGCTCAGTGAGAATCACAGATTTTTCTGTTAAAAATGGACCTGAACCTACTCTGAAATTTCCTCTTGAGAGTGCAGTACCCAAGTCTGTCACGCAGATTTCCATTCAGGTGAATGTTTGCAGGATTAGGAGCACCTTGGTGTTGTTGCAGAAGGTGACTTACTAACATGGTTTCCCGAGTCATACAGCTGAGAGATATGCATATATTTGGTTTTGTCCCTCTTGTTCTCTGTCCCTTCTAACCTGAGAGCTGCTTTTTATACTCTTTGTAAACAATAACTTAAATCAACAGTAAATTAAATCATAGTCAAATCAAGGTCTGATCACATCAGACTTTGCAGAGGCAAACAGTAGACCATTCTGAAATGTTTGTAAATAGTTGTGCTAAATTCCAGGAATGTGCACACTAAAATCCAAAGCCACTTACAAAGCTGTTAAGACTGTTATTCATCCACCTACCTTTACCATGATGTCCAGAATATAGTGCTTGTTTTTTCTTCAGTTTTCTTGCCTCTATCTGTAGATGAATTTAAATATTAGGTCTTTGAACTGGTTGTCCAAAGCACAAGTGCACAGGAAGTATGGTAGCAGGTGATAAGCTCAGGCAATAGAAAAAAGAAATGTATGTACTGGTTTTGAGTGTTTGGAAGTTCTGTAACTTCTCACAACTGACAGACCTCTGAGCCACAAGAGCAGGTTGCATGTGAAAGCTGTGTTGGTAAGCTGACTGAGGACTAGGAATTTGAACCTGTTTAATTCCTCTTACATAAAAAGAGTAATTCAACTCAGTAGATAAGTAGAATTATATCATACAACAGTGTTAATTTATGTTCTTTCCTTTCACCTAGGTATGCAACCATATATACTATGTTTCCAGTCTTCTCTCTAGTATTGGATCAGGATGTGAAGCCAGAAATGGCATTGCTATATCCAGAACTTTATAAAGATCTCACAAAGGTATGAATGTCCTCGGTGCTCAGATATGAACAAATGCTGAAATCTGCAGTGTGCAAAACTGAGAATTCTTGCAATCATTTTCTTAAGGTATTCCAAGCAAAACAGATTGCACAACTAATGCAGAGTTTTGTGCTATGAACATAATCCATGGTACAAAATGTTCCAATAAGTTTTATTAATGCATTTGTTAAGTCACCAATGGTTGGACTGAAACAATTCAAACATGAGCGTATGTTGATATAAAAGCTGCTTTCAGTATGGCCCCAAAATCTCTGATGTGGAGTTATTTATGCTTAAATTTTCACAGCTTGTTTTTCCTTTTTAACTGGTAGGTTAATGTATAGATCTATTTTTTCCTAAAACCCAGAAATTGCTACTGACCTCTCCAAAAACTGTCTTTCTTTAAATACTGATATATCTGAACTGAATCATCTGTAGATACTGCTTTCTGTGTGTTTGCACATGCCTGCAAACAATCAGAGTGTGTATTTTCTTTACCCACAAGAGTGAAACAAATCTCAAGATTCTGTTTTCATAAGTTTTTGAAAAGTGCTTCTCCTCCAGCTTAAACCATCAGCTAGAAAAATTATGATCCCAGACACTAGCAGACAGTCTATTTAGGGATAGTAGATTCTTTGAAGATGTGTCTAAAAGTTCAGAAGCAGACTGAACAGTTGAAGAGGGCCTAAATGTTTCAGTCTTTGTCTTTTTCATTTTACTAAATTAGCTATGTTACTCTGGAATAACTTTTTCTTCATCTATTAGAGTTCTTGATTGTCTCTCCTCTTCAGAATCTTTAAATTCTTTGAGATTTCATCCCATGATTAATCTCAAAAAAGCACAGCCTTCACCTGCTAAATGCACTTGTAAGCTTGCATGTGGAAACCTCTTGATGGAACTTGGAAGCATCTTATTTCCAAAGACAGAAGTTACCTGTACTTGGAAAATGCCCAGGATGGGTAGATGAATAGAGACTGAGTTTTTTCTGTTTAGTCTTAAAGGACAGTTCTCAGAGATGGTGGATCACTGGCTTTCCCAGCTTATGTTGTACATCTATGAATATTTAGTAAGTAGAACACAGATAATTACCTTCAGGAGAGAAAAAAAGAGAATATGGAGAATCTGGAGAGTACAGTTCAGTGCATTGTGTGGGGCAGATGATGATCAGTGAATGATTATGGATGAGTAAGTAAAAAAGTTATGTGCTACGTTTGACTTCACTATTACAAGGTGATCTTATTGTGTTTATTACAACAATTGATGGTCATGCTGCCTTAGTCATGACAGTATGTATCCTGCCTGTTTCTGCACATCATTTTTCAAATTGTGTTCTTCAAGTGCAAATCTCTACCAATGCTGGAGTTATTCAAATGGGTGTTGACGTGGAATTGATTTCTGGGATATGCAAGTTACGAAAATTTTTAGATTCTTAAAAGAATAAAACATATATTGATGCAAGCATTAAGAGACTTGCTCCAGTGCAAGAAGACAGATTAGCAAGGTTCAGAGAGACAGGTGTGACTATGTACCCCGGCAGACACACTGATTCACTATTACTGTTTCTGTGGCTTCTGTGGACTTATAGCTAGGAAAGCTGATGAAATTTTGAAAGGAACTACAAGAGGACTCTCTGCTTTTATCTCAGAGTGATTCACTACCTGTCATGCAGCATTCCATAGAAGCTCAGGAGTGACTTACCCCTTCTAGATCCATAAGGCTGAACTAAAACTCAAGCTCATTCATATTTCACAAATCTTGCTAATTAGGAGCTATGGTCAAAGGTGGAAGCAGTGTCTCGTACTTAAAGGCAAATAAGTAGGCACTCACAGGAGGAAAAAAAAGAATGTTCATGCTTGTGCAAGAATTTTTTTTCCCATATGTTCAGCCTGTCACCAACTTTCTAGACTACATACAGATGTATGACAATATCCTTAGCAACTTGCCATCAACTCAGTCTATCCACGAATATGTTTTAGCCTCCACTGAAGTAATAGAGTTAACTCATCACTTGCCACAGCAGTGAAACACATTTCTTTGTGAAGTGCTGATTCTTGCCTGTTCTGGATTGATCACTTCTTTTGTGGCAAAATGGCTGCTCTGTTTGCCATTTCATCCTTTTACATGTGTGTCCTTTAAACTCTGTGGTTCTATTTCATCAGTACCTCCCAGAATGCAAGAGTCATATCACATATCCAGCATATTTGATTTATGCATATGTTTCACTCTGTAACATTCACAGTCATGAGAAGATTTAAAATTTATTTGGCTACAAACTTGTAGTAGTCATGCATTTATTCTATGAATGCAAATGGATCCTTTATCCAACATTTAGCAGTTAGTAGTAACTACAGTTTTGCTTGAGGTTTTGGTCAGTAGGTACACAATGCTGGGTGATTTTTCAACACTACATTTTACAAAACAGGCACAAAAACATTTTAAATAAAAAATAATTTTACCATGTTTATCCTTCTGAAAACCAGAGTACTGCAAGCTAAAGTGTATTTTCTGTTTAAGGCCTTAACTGTCTTACTCCCAAATTTAGACTTTGTGCAATTTCTATACAAGTTTTAATGAAGAATCATAAAAACAAGTAGAAGTTTTTTAGCCTGTATCGCTTCAAATGCTACTTATTTTACTTGTGCAGTGTCTCTCTAGTGGTTATTAAAAATATATGAACTGAGTAGATATTTTTAATTTTTTTTTTTTTAATTTGTGTTTAACTGTTCTCTCATATGTTTCCCTTAGGGAAGATCTTTGTCATTTAAGACCTTCCTCATCTGGGTTTTAATCAGTATTTACCAAGGTAGGAGAGAGTCCTAATTTTCCTGAACTGAGAATTTTTTGTCTGCTATTAGCAATATTGTTTTTCAGCTGCAGGTTGAATTCCCAAAGCTTAACATTTCATCAGCAGTTATATATATTGCTTTCTGTTTATCTCGTAAATCGATATTCCTGTAGTGCGCCAGGCCTATTCAAAACACAGCATGGATTGGTATTTTTATTGGTGCATGTCGCCTAAAAAAGGACATGTTTTTAATTAAATGCTAATCCAGAAAAATTTTAATGAGTGCTTATCACATTGCATGTATTTACACAGTAGTTTTCTTTCATGGAATGACAGAAGTACTGTTGAAGAAATCTGAATTATGTAATCAGTTAAAAGTAATTACACTTTCAACAATATCTCATTTATTTGCAGCACTTGACAAAATGAGGTTAATTAACAGTTCATCAGATATACTGCACTAAAAGGTGTTTAATTTTCTAATAGTTTTATTTCTTTATGGCTTTACTTTGGTTGGTTTATTTCACAAACACAAAGTACAGTAAATATCCTTCTGTTCTTTTAGAAAGATCAGTGTTGTCTTGTAAAAAAATTACTGGGCAAGTTTTCATAATAAACAATCAAATGTTCAATGCGCAGTTATAAAAACTGGTACAGTGAAATTTTATTGCAGAGTGTATGGTTAACGTTGTGTGTCTTTCCACCCTGCCTAGGTGGTATTCTGATGTATGGAGCCCTGCTGCTTTTTGAATCTGAATTTGTACATGTCGTTGCCATTTCCTTCACTGCCCTAATCTTGACTGAGCTCTTGATGGTTGCACTGACCATACGAACATGGCACTGGTTAATGGTGGTGGCTGAATTCCTCAGTCTTGGCTGCTATGTGGCCTCTCTTGCATTTCTAAATGAATACTTTGGTGAGTAATAGTAAAAGTATTTTAGCAAAGAGCTGGTTTATATTTTTAGTAATATTTTTCTCTTTTTTTTTTTCAATTAAGAATAGGTGATGTTATGCCTTTGAAATACAGCTTGCTTTGTCAGAAATATGACTGAGTTCAAAATAGGCCTAATTAATATTGGGTTGAAATACTCTCTTACCCTTTTCTCTTAGAGTATGAAAATCTTTGTTCCTGTTAGTATGGTTTATCTAGATGATAAGCTTTACTCAAACCACTCATGCCTTTTCCATCCTTGATCTGATATTGACAGTCCAAACTGCAGACCTTAAATTGGCTTTGAGATATGCACTGTTGAAAATAGACAGGATTTTAAAAAAAATCAGGATCTTTAACTGAACTCATACATTATTTCGTGTGCCAGACCAAGTGGGCCTCATTATATCTAACCCAGGAGATAAAAATAGCTGAAGTATTGCTAGAGAGTGAGGCAACAGGCTATCAGGATAGATACTTTATATTAAAGATTCATTGTTTCAGAGTTACAGTAAGCTTGTATTAAGCTTGCTTAGCTTAAATGTGTGGGATGTCATACTGTATCTTAAGGTTCTGATTGTTTAGAATCAAAATAATTCATATTTCTTATAGCAACTTAGCCTTTAGTAAAAACAACTATTTTGGTGTGATTTACAAACATAACTTCTACAGAAATACATATGACATCTTTGATTATACCTCAGGAGGAGCCGAATCCAGCTCCTCCTCCTCTGTTCTCGTGGAGCTGATGAGTAAGGTGTTGTCCTTCAATTGTCATTTCTCATAGCAGAATTTAATGTTATATGGTAATTTCTAGGAGTCTCATAGTTCTGGTTTCACTCTGTCATGTCCCAGTGGTTCAACACTAGGGTAGTGTATGTACATTAGTTATATTTTATTTAATCAGTAAGTGTTTCACTGCCTGTCCCAGGTGTTCTTTTACTTCCCAGATTTATCAGGAGCCAAATCTTAGAGAAACAACGTTGCTAGGCTTGGTACTTGCATTGTACATTGTTTCAGGTTTGTCAGAGTACCTTTTTATTTTCTCTGACACTGATGCAGAGACTCCTTAATAGAGATTATTGGGTTGATTTTTTAATCTCCACAGCCATATTACAAATGAAAGGAACAAGAAAGAACAGATACAGGTACTGGCACTTGAGTTCAGATTTCCAGGAACTTCATAAACAGAACTTGTGGCTTCACCTTTGTAAGTCTTTAGTACTGGTTACAGCCAAGCATCCCATCCTTTGTTGTGTTGATGTTGTTCCCTGAAAAACACCTTTAGGTGGTGTTCACAGATGTGTAAAAGCTGCAGGGACTTTGTTACAAACCTTTCTGTAAAGGGGAGTGTTTTTGTGTCCTCGTGTATTTGCTGGACAAGCCCAAGCAACTTGGTACATAAATGGCTTCTTGCAGCTCAGGGACTTAACTTCTTTTTTCATCATTAAGGGTAATGAAAAGGCTGCAATTTCAAGGGATTTTACTGTGTGTTATTCACCAGTTAATCTAAGAAAACACATTTGTGTTACTCTCACTTCTGCTTAATGCTTTACTGTGATTTAATCTGTCGCATTATAACTAGGGGGAGAGCCTTTTTTTGTGTATGTGATGCAGCATAAACCTATGTGATGGTTTGCAGTTCAAGGGACAGAACAACTTCCATGTATCAGGAAAAGTGATCCAGGCAAGCAGTGCTTGACTTCATTGGAAAAATAAACTGTTTCTGTCAGTGATGTTGCTTATAAGCATCGTCTTCTCATAAAGAAATTGTATCATGACATGGCATTCAAACTAGAAAGGCAAAAATATTTGATACTGTTCTACAGGTCTGACTCATGGAAGTAAATCAGTTCTTAGGTTTCTGAGCTGACTGCAAATAGTGGCCTTATTAAGCATGTCTCTGTGATATGTTACAGAGGCTTTCAGTGTGTCTGAGCAGGCTTAGGCTAGAACTGTGTAACGACTTGATACATTGAAACCAAATATACAAAGTATTTTTAATGAGTAAAGTTGGAGCAGTAAAGCATTTCTGTATTGCATTTTCTGAAGTGAATTTTCATTCACATTAACAAAGTTCTGATCAAGTTGTTGATACCGTAAATTATACCTTAAAGTCAAATGTAAGAAAAGTGCCAATCTACTCACAAACTTAAAACCTGACCAAATAGAAAATCTCTGTGTTTTCAAAATGTTTTAATTGCTGCTTAAAATATTCTGACTGACATGTGAAAGGCAATACTATTCCAGTTAACACTACTAACATCTTTTTCATTTCCTTTTTGTATAGCTAACCTGCTTGAGGGTTTTTCGCATAACTTTTGTATTTTCTGTAAATCTATCCTTTCATTTTCCCTCTTTGTGAAACAGGTATAGGCAGAGTGTCTTTTGGAGCTTTCTTAGGTAGGTGAAGTTTAACTTTTCTTGAAGTTTTATTAAAAATCTTTAAAGAATAATTAAAGAGTAGCAAATTACTTAATAGACACATTTGTAAATAATGGAAAAAATAAACCACCATAAAAATTCTTCAGGTTACCTGGGTTCTGGGATCTTTCCATGATAATTAAGTATGACCCGATCATCATTAATATGGTCAAAAAAGTTCAGTAGCAAGTATAAAGTTGTTAATGCTTGTCATAAAAAGTTACTTCTTTGGTGTGGCTTGTAGCAGTATCACTGCATTGTTTTCCCTTGAAATTTTTGGGCTCTAATTTAATCTCTAAGGTTTTAAGAATCATTCATTCTAGTTGTTGTGGCTCTTTCAGAGAAAAATTATCAATATTGATAAAGGATCCAAAATGGTAGCAGAATTTCTGGTTGGGAACTTGTATTATAGTGGGTAAAAATCATTCTTACCAGTAGAAAAATAAGGTGGCTTAACTTTGTATTATGAGGAGTGTTGCTTTTAAACTGAGATTCTGTTTCCCCTAAAATTACTTCGTGCAGCAAAACAGTATAAGGACCATAAAGGAACTCTGAAGTTCCTGTCTGAAGAAAATAGTTGGCAAAAGTGAAATGTTGAGGTTAACTTTTTCTTTCTCTTGCTTTCTGCCCTTTTTTTGGTTTTTTTTTGTTTTAATTTTGCATGGTCTTGAACAATAGCATAAGCAAACAATTAAGAGGGTTTTATTGACTTTGCACTATGGAAGTTCCAGTTTCCATGTTACTGGCTCCCATTACTTATTTTCCCCTTCTTGTTTCTGCAGATGTTGCCTTTATCACAACTGTGACCTTCCTGTGGAAAGTGTCAGCAATCACTGTTGTAAGCTGTCTTCCACTTTACATTCTCAAGTACTTGAAGCGCAAGTTCTCTCCTCCAAGTTACTCCAAGCTTACCTCGTAAAAGTGATTATATTCCTATGGTTTTTCACTCACACCAGTCTGCAAATTGCATATTCACTGTGCTTTAGTGTCTATGGATTTATGTTGGACTAAAGAAACTTTAAAAAAAAATCAAAAATCAAATGTGATAGCGTGAATAGAGCACAAAAAGAGGAGGAAACATCTGACAGATACAGTAACACAAAAGTACACTAACAGGATTATCAGAGATGAACAAAATTTTCTTCATGTTGATTTTCTTTTGTTTTACTTTCAGTTGCTATGATTATAAAATAAAACCAAATTACCTTTGATTTGACAGTGCTTCTGAATTATTTCATTGCTACTGTAAAGGATCTTTTACTACTGTAAGGGAATTTTTCCCTACTGTATTTATCTTCTGCAAATCACATGAAAGTTTTGTTACTTATTACATAAATTCCCTTCTTTAATTATTATATAACTTCCTAATTCAAGCCCTTTAATGTTTATATATGGAAAAGTTCATTCATCCATACTTACTATAACAACCCTAATTCCTGTAAATGCCCGTGTCTGTATTAGCAGCTATTATTCCTCATCAGGCATTGATTAATATGCACTATTTGAATTATGTACAGATGTCTGCATAGCACAGTATTAATTTAGGAGCTGTTGTCCTATTCTGTACTCTCCATTTCTGGCACCAGTAAATTACAGATGTGTGATGTTGACAGCAGTTCTTTAAATGCACATTACAACCAGGTTGCACAAAAGCTGTTTAAAAATTAAAGGATAAATTCTGTACATAATTCCACAGCACCTATTGATCTGTACAGGTATCAAAGACATGGCTGCTCAGTAAATATGTTTTACAGTTCTTATTCATTTTGTATTTGTAAAACTGCAAATAGTGTCAAAGTACATTTCTATATATGAGAAGTCCAGTAAATCTTGTATTAGCTAATATGTTTAAATTGCCTTGTAATCTGTTTACTTAGGTTACTCAGGTAAAAGAAAGTAAGAGGAACACATGAACATTATGGTAGGAAAAATCTATCATCTTCCAAGCTGTAAATGTTATGTTTTTATAACTTAGTTTGGGTGCAAACTTGTAAAAAAAAATCAAAGCATTTTTGTTTGTTGTAAGCTGTCAGAGTTGAGTATCTTGGCTGAGTTATGACACTTTACAGCAGCTGAAGATTTGTTCCAGAAACTCTTATACTCTGATGCAATCTAAGGGTCCAAATCCTGCATACTGTACTGGCAAGTAGGATATATTCTTTTAATTTTCCATTGTGATCTAACTTTGCTTTCTCAAGAAGTACATACAATGAATTTGACATAGTCTGTTAATCAGTGAAAAGGAACAACATGACTCTTCATGCTTTATTTATTAAATATTTGTGTGTGTTTTTTTCAAAAACCACTTAATATTGATGTCATTTTTATGTTTGTATGCCTTTACAACATAATTTCTCATTTAGTCTCTTATATCTTTTTCCTTATGTCATTATTATATTGGATGAGTAATATTTAAGTGATAAATACAACTACTTCCTGGGAGAGCAGAGGAAACTGCTGCAGAGCTATTTGGACTCCACCCCACTCCATTAATTTTTGTTTTTAAAGTTTTTCTTACTCGCTATTTATCTGCCTTTTTTTTTAAGTTTCATTCCTCATCATAAAAGCAATAAAGCCTAATTTCTACCAAATATTAATGGTATATGTGTTAAATGAACTACTGAAGCAGTGTTTCCTTTAATGACACAACACCACAGACTAGTTTGCTCTGTCCCTCTGTGAACTCACTTCTGTAAAGCTCCCACAAGATGTCACTGTTCTCGCATACGAGCAGGAGCCGTTCTGCATTCTGTGTGGTTTTGGCAAGATACTCCTTACTTATATTTTTAGTTTGGTCCTGTGATATTTTTGTTGCTGGTTTGCTTTAATTTTCTGTTCTCCCCAGTAAGTGGTAATCACTTTTAAACAACCAAGATAAGTCACTAATGTGCAGTTGTTCTGAAATGTTGGTATTTTCTCCAGACCTTTATGCCTTACACATTGTGAGTTCACAACCGTATGCATCAGATTCAGGAGATAAGCAAAAGCTTAGAGTTGGTCATCTGTACATCACATCTTTGATCTTAGGCAGAAAATGAGAAAAAAATCAGAAATTAAACTAGTATCCTGGAAGTGATAGTGTCACTGCATTAAACTATGATTGTATGTGATACAAACATATCCATGTGTACAGAATTTATAGTGTATGTATGTTTATTCTCAGCATTAAAACTCCAAGGCTAGTGTGATAGCAAATGTAATAGATTCTGCACACAGGTATAAGCCTGTCAAAAGTGCCTGCTTTCTCAGCATTTTTCAATCTACAGCAAAGGTCCCGTTTCGGCTGGCACTTGGTTTTGAAGACTGGAAGCCTGATTCAAGCAACTCACCTTGCTTTCGAGGTTCAGACACTGCAAACCCACGTGTACCAGGAGAGCCTGCTTTTCTCTTCATTCATGTCTCTCAGGCACAGCCCTGCCAAGGGGTAGCACTACCCTATCACAGTGGTTTACAGATAACAATATCAGTACAGAATTTAAGTAGAGTAATACGAGTCTTTCAGTAGACAGCTTTAATGTATTGTGGATTTCAGTGCAAAGTAAGCTCACTGCCATTGCAATCCCTGGCTCTTAAAACAGGTTCAAATGGTAACATATCTGGTGTGCAGGAGAATAAACTGTTTTGTAAGAATCTCATTCTGTTGTCATTTCACATTAGTGTACATCAGGAATTCCTCTGGAGCACCAGATCAGCTTGTATAAACACAGATTTTGGCCTTGGGATCTGCAAGTTACACCCAGAAGGACCTTAGTTTTATTTGGTGTTAATATTTACTTTAGTGAGCTGCTGTCAGATACATATTTCTGAAACGGTAATCATGTCTCTCTGAAAATATATTTAGAAAACAATTTCAGAATTGGGATAGGATGAAGGAGCAATGTGTGAATAGGAAATACATCTTCACCAAAGTAACATATACGTAACAGGACATGGACCTTGTTTAATAAGAACATGAGCAAAACATCTGCAAGATTTCCTGAAAAAAAAAAAAAAGGAGTACTGGTGATTATACTGGGGGTTTTTTCTGATGCTATTCTAAGCTTATGTGTTCATGTAACTGTTGAAAAACATTTTACTCCACAAGGTATTCATTTGCAAATGGAAGATAAATTAAATCCCTGCATACTTAACCTTCAATCTGTAGCACTCTTCCATTAATGCAATTGTTTACAACACTGTTTCTGTGTTCAAACTGTGCTTGCTGACACATGCCATCAGAATTCAGCTGTGGTTCTCCTATTTTCTTCCTAAAATTTCAGAGTGGTTGTCCAAAAATGTTCCAATGCTTTTGTATGTACGTAGGCAGTGTGTGTTATCTTGATGAGCAGCTTCCACTTGAGCAAACCTGTGTTACAATGTCCTCCTACCCTCTGTCCACAAGAGTGTGTAAGCTTAAACTTAATCTTCAGTCTCCTTTTAAAACATGTCTGCAAGAGGGAGCTCTGCAGTTGGGAACATTTTCAGTTTGGACAGCAGTTCTGTAGGTATTTAAGCAAGATTCTGGTAGTCACATATGTAGTTAAACAGCTGTTAGTCATGAGGGTCAGCTTCTGGAGATGAAGAGGAGGTGATTTCCTTACATATTGCTCTTACTTATGCCCATTCGCACATGTTAGAGAGTAGCTCTAAGCAGTATGGTCTTCATACTCCTCTGCAACCTTATTGCTGTCTCAAGGCATTCAGACTGCTTGGAAAAAGAAGGGACCTTAATTCTTCTGCTGGTGAGCTAGGCCGTGTGCTTCTGGGATCATCCTTCATCCCTAAACTGATGTGCACCTCCACCTTGTTTATATAGGGTACCCTGAAGGGTTCCTTCATCGCTGGAGGTTGGGCTATTCAAGCCTGATCCACCCTGGTTTGTCTACTTACCACAGGAGTGATGGCAAGTCAGACTTGGGGAAGGGCTTACTGTGTAAGCGACAGTATGGACTTCTTAGAGGCTTTGGAATGTGCTGTTAACAGAGAGACACTAAGATGGGACCTCTCTTCCCACTTTTGCAGGGCTTTATATTCCTGGGTTTTATATTGGCAAGATAACATACAAGAGGGTTCCAGCTGTTTCACACTTGCATCCCCTCAAGTGTCCAGAGCTATTAACAACTCCTGCAGGGCGAAGGAATTTAGTAGAGAGGATGTGGGCTCTGGACAGACAGTACTCCTTAAAAAGTGATAGCCAAATCAGTGGCTATTCTGCTCTCACCATTGATGCAGAAACCATTCATGTAGGTCCTGTTTACACTGACATCCATTGAATTTTAGCTTCCATTGAGGTTCTTTTTATTTTTGCTGGCTAGAAAGGAAAGAATTGGGCCAGCAGTCTCTTATGATACTTAGTTTAATAACCTTTCTGTATCTAGGCAGTTATTATTATAACTTAATTGAAACTTGGAGGCAATCAAAAAGCCCTTCCATACCTTAGCCCCCTGCAGGGAGGAAAATCAGTACGAGTGAACAAAGACAACACAGATCGAACATTATATGTAAATAAACAGGAGGCACAATGTCTTTAACACTGTGTTAAAGAGCATAGGAATTTCTTTTGTAAACAAAACACACTTTAAGTGAGCTACTTCCCAACGAGTACTAACTACCCAACAGATGCCCTCAGCAGGGTTCACAGCTGCTATTGCGAGTGGGAATTTGCTCAGCCAATTGCTAACAAAATCTGCCTTAAATAGGCAATTGCACTGAAAGACCTATTCACTACTTCATCGACCAAAACTATAGTTTTGTTCAAAATATTTTATTGCAAAGGTGGTGAAAAATGGGTGCCATGAACAGAATTACGTGAAAGTATTCTGCAGTGGAGTTGACAAGTTCTGCTTTATTCTTCTGTTCTTGACCAGGTTGTAGCTAAATTCCAGCTGAGATTTTTCCTTATTGCAGTAACCTCCTGTCCTCCAGCATGCATTCAACTTGAGATTATAATCCACAATGGGAGACCTCCAAATTGCTCAAAAAAAGGCAGACTTGAGGAACACAGCCTTTTTGCATTACTGAGCTATGAGAAAGATCATCATGTGCTCTAAGAAGAGGAGATGCTGTGTTCTCTAACTGTGATGCATGATAAGTATTTATGTCCCTGCCTTTATTCTTCTAGCAGTAAACTATCTTATTTCCTCTTCTCTTGACAGAACTGCTAAGTACAAAGAGACCTTTGGTTATAATGTTCACGTAGCTTTAAGCAAGTAGTACACAAAATAGACCATTTGAATTTTTATTTGTGGAGCTGCTTTCCATTGTTTCTCTACAACATACACATCTAGTTTTTCCACGGGCTCTCTGTGTTTTGCCCTGAGTTCTAAGCATGAATTTGATTTTGCAAAGTAAACACACGTTGTGTGGAAGCAAACTATAGATAACTACTTCAAAAGTCTGCTGAAAATTAATTCCTGGCT